TCCCAAAGGATGAGATCAGTGATCGTATTGAGTGTTTTGGTTTTGTTGATTGTGGGCGCAGTCTATGGTCAGGAAAACTTCCACCGATTCTGCGGCGGAAACGAGGACTGCAAACACACCGACAAGACTAAGCCCGAAGAGTGCTGTTTTCCCGGCAAATTGAATGGATATAACGAGTGCCAGAAGAACCCCGACCCCGCTAGGGCCGCGTGTGCCAAGACTGTCCCTGTACATCACTTCAAGTGATTGCACGCACCCTCCACTTACCAAAACACAACCCGCATTTGCTGTATATTTCATAAATTTGTTTTAAATTATGTTTAAGATCTTTGTTTTATAAGAATTGCATTCAATTATACATAAATAAAATTATTTTATTCCATTATATTTGTTGGCTTTTATTTATTTTCATAAATTACCAATTGTATATGTTTTGAAAATTATTTTTAAATTTTACTAAAATGATTAACATGATGTTTTATTTTGGTGGATTTATTAAACATACTGTTTTTTATAAGTCCATTCATATGTCGGAAATCCCCAGTAATACAATAACTTATGTTTTATTAAGTAATATATTTTTCTTATTAGTAGTACTGTGAATTAATTATTTATTTTAAATCTTAATTTTTATTAAATAAAATATTTTGATTAATAATTTTTATTGTAATAAATAGTCTAAACATTTCATTTGGTTTTATAACTTATTAATTATATAAAGTTAAAAATATAAATTATTGACAATAAATATAGACAAGATAGATAAATAGACAAATACATTTATTAAACATTTATGTAAATTAAATAACCAATTAAGTAAATGCTTATTTAATAAAATTACAGTTCATAAAAAATTATTGTTTAATCTTCAACTCTTTGTTAAGTATTTTATCACTAATTCACTTATTTTATTTGATAAAGTAATTTCTACGAATTGCAAAATATAATCATTTAAACAGATACATTTTCAATTCACTTATCTCTTATTAATTAAAAACATAAAATATGTTGAAACATTGAAAACAATTGATTACTCAATTTGTCATATAATATATAATACGTTGTTTTGAAAAATTAGTCTATACTATTTATTGATTATTTAATTATTATTATTACTTAAGACTTGTGATTGTATTTATTTTTATAGCTTTTATATAGAGAAATAAATTCCTTGAGATCTTGAGTAAAATTATATTAAAAACCTTCAGTCTTTATTCCTGAAGTGATTCCCAACGAGTACAGTATTTAAATTTTAAATATATAAATTTTATATGAACACTGAATAAATTAGCATTTTTGCATAACTAATATAAGTGGGATTAAAATGCAGATGACATTCAAAAAATACTGAATCTTCCGTAAAAATACTGTGAATTAATTCTTTATAAATCAAAATATGTGTAAAAAGTTATATATTTATAACATTGCAATAAAGTCACAAATATTAAGAGGTGTAATGTTTTCAAAATCATCGCCTCTGTATTAGCCTTAACTACACTTTCATTCTTATAATCTCATAGAAAATCCTGTTTATGACCTCAACAGGGGTCGGACTCATCAATATGTTGTGGGAAAGACAATAACCGGCCTTCCATTCAATCCTTATGATTGCAAACTAAATAGTTATTCAAAATTTACTTAAATTATTAGTAAAATTAAGCATAAAGTCATATAAAAATAACATTCATTAATAAATCTATAAAAGTAAATATTACTTTATCCAAAAGAATTTGTTATTAAAAAGTAATTTAAATAAATGTTCTCTATTGTCTTTTATTTTTAAAAAATCATTTAGTAATGCCTAATTTAAAATGACATGATTATAATTTATAAATGTTTAAAATGTAAACACTAAAAATTTTACAATAATAAGATTAAATTCAATTCTCATGACAAAAATCAAAACTCAAACGTCAGTCAAAAATCCAAATATTGAGAGTCAGTGAGAATGAGTGAAACGAGTGGACAGTCAGCCCCAGTGGTCGAGTCAAAGGAGTGTCGCATATGTAAAGAGTCCGAGAATGCGGACACAATGATCAGTCCATGTCAGTGCGCCGGTAGTCTAAAATATGTGCACAAGGAATGCCTCCTATCATGGATACAGACATCGGGATCGATCGACAAATGCAATGTCTGTAAGAAGTCCTATACATGCAATCTAGTGGTCAGACGCGAAAAGTTGTTCGCATTTCTGGTCAAAGAGTTGAGACAAATGATACCACTGTTTGCGGTCACATTACTGGTGACACTGATCCTCCTGTCATCGGTGGTGATGCTGTTCCGCATGGATTTGAGCCGTTATAACGCGCTTATGGCTCATCACAACCGATTCAGAGGACAAATGAGATTAGGATTGACTAAAAGGGAATTCCATTTATTTAGGGCTGTCTTAGCTCTGGAGAACTCATTGGCGGCCATCACTCTATGGGTGCTCATGGGGTACGCGGTTAGGGATGAGTGGGACAAACACAAGCTCTATATCATTGAAGACTAGATGTGCTCTCATGTCATCTCATTGTGATCTCTCATTTAAAAAGTCAAAGCTATTCATAAAATAACATTTCAGACACATATTGATAATCATTTGAAAAACAGGAGATTAAGAATAAGTAATTTAGTATTTTATCACTATTTAGTCATTAGATTTAAATAGAGTGTGCTTGGTGTTCATGTGTTCATTTATTTCCTATTCATATCGCAATGTGATTTATGATAATAAAAACCGAGTCCCATTAAGTTCAATATACAGTATAAGTTTACTGTATATCTTATTAGTAAACGGAGTGAATCTCCTTTAATTATAAATTATCTATCATTGAATTCAATGATACTAAATGAACCAAACGCTTAATGTTTAGTCTGTTATATGAAACAAAGACAATTTCATATGAAATAGTAATGAAAACTAATTATAAATAGTTGTTTGAGAACTTTGTATAACAAACTCGAGTCAAAAGAGATCTCAAGGCAAAGATCGCCTACTTATCAATCGGTGTATGAATTTAGGGACTCGTGTGTTGTGTTCATAAGCCATACCTTCAGTCTACTGACTAAACTTCTGTCGATTATGTGTTTGTCATCTAATTTATGATTGTTTTCACAAATTCTGTTTCATTTGCTTAATAATTAGTGAGAATGAGGAATTATTTTAATAAATTAAAAATCAATTTTATATTTATTTTGTGGTTAAGTTGTATCAATTTAATAAATTGTGATCCAATACGAGGGCTTACAATAAGGGTATGTCATGTCTATTCATAAATATGTGCTTTCTTATTATTGTGCAAATTGTTATTTAGAAACATTTTTTAATAACATAAAAATTGATAAGTTAATATCATGAGTTTCAGTAGATTAAACCTAAAAAGTTTTTATTAAGTAATTATTAATTATTTATTGATAATTTATAAACACAATGAAATTTAATATCAACTTTTATTTTAAAATATAAAATTACAAAAAAGTAAAAGTAACTTTCAGTAAGTTAGATTATTTATTATAGTAATATCATATATATATTATAAATATAATACTAGTATTTCTCTAAATGCATGAAATATGTGTTTAGCTAATGTTCTTCACATTCATCTCTAGAGTAGGCGATAATCCTTGAATAGCTATAAAATTGCCGATCAATTCATTTTACCTATAATTAAAATCTAATCAAACCAATGCACTTGCAATTAAAAAGTCTTATGTCTAACCTAACACATAAGATAAACCGATTAATCAAAATGAAATATCAATAACAATACAAAGTGTTGCAAAACTATGTGCAGAACTGGCCGTATGCTAACCAACTAGAAAACGGACAGTTCGAGGGCTTTGCCATTGATATCCTCAATGAGATCTCTCGTATCGCCAAAATCACGTATACATTGAAACTGTCAAACCTCACGGAATACGGCGGTTGGTCTAAGAATGGCTCCGTTACCGGGATCATCGGACAAATATTCAGGAATGTATGTATTTTTCAAACTTTTATTATAACAATATCTCAATTTAATTGTACCGTATTTCCTTTTACCTAATATAGTTATTTTTTAATGAAAATATAATATTTTTCTAACATAGTTCCCTATTTATTACAAAAGTGTTAATTGTAATACATAACAAAAACATAGCTTAGGTTAGCTTTTTTAATGAAAAATAATTGTATTGGAATTTCTCATAACAATAATTATTGTATTAATATAGTATAAGCATTGTGTAAATAAAAAAGTGAAACCCAACTCACATAACAGGTACAGGTATTTGAGTGATACTACGAGAGAGTAATTGCGGTTTTAATGATTAACTTGTTTTTCATGCGAAATCACTCACTCAGTCTGTTATCCCACCTCAATGTGTATAAGACTTGACCCTAATTTGGTGATCACATCCCATACCAAATAAGGCTTTACTTACTTTTCTATTAATAAGACATGTGTTTGAAAACTGGATTTCTTTTTCCACTTTACACGCAACTCATTGATAATTTTTATTTGTTTTTTACTAATTTCTACTTTCATATCAATATTTACAAATATTTAGCTAGCAAATTATTTGCACATCATTTCAATGCACTGTGTAATCGATTGTTTAAATGCAATACAAAACTAATAAATAAAACTAATTATACTTAAAAAGTAGTAAAACATTAGTATATTTACTCAATCTATGGCTTAATAGGAGGCAGACTTTGCAATCGGCGACATAACGGTGCTGACCACTCGGGACCGGTACGTGCACTTCAGTCCCCCTATCATGAAGTTTGGGTTGACTGCACTCATACGCAAAGACTATGTCGGAGATATGAAATCATTCAAAGATCTGTCGGAACAGTCGGTCATTGCCTACGGGGTGAAGAAGACGGGCGCCAATCTGCCCCTCTTTCACGACAGCCCTGTTGTCACCAAAATGTATAACTATATGGACGCCAATCCCAACACTTTCGTGAGCGGCGAGAAGGAGGCCATACAGAGGGTTAAGTCCAACCGATACGCCTTCATAACGGAGGGTCCGTTCAATGAGTACGTGATTAACCGCGACTGCGATCTCACGGCCATCGACGACAAGCAGAAGAACTTTCAGTTCGAGTACGCGATCGCTATGAGGAAGGATCTGCTCCAGAGGTACGCCATCGCTGACGCCTTGAGACAAATGAAGAGATCGGGAAAATTAGATGAACTCTTCGACAAGTACTGGAAATCAGACAAATGTGTTGAAGACAGTAATGTCGTCGAAGTCCGGCCGAAGAGCGCACAGTTATCTGTCGATAATGGAGTGGCGGATGAGAGGGAACGGGAGGGCACACCTCCACCGAAGAAACACCACCACCCACACGATCACAAGCACCCGGACCACGGAAAGCACTGGAATCATAAGCGGAGGAATGCCTCACCCGCTCATCATTTGTCACTAACGCTGGTCTTTGTCTGTCTTTTACACTATTTTGTTGCCAATTATTAATTCATGTTATCTCTTGTTTTGTTAATGTTTTCTGTTTTTATTAAGTCTTAAGTATTTGTTTAAAAAATTCTACACACATTTTACATGAAAAACTAATATTTAAATAAAACTTTTTATTTTGTTATACATTTGATAAAACGATAAAAACTACGGTTTACTAATGAAATAAAGTTGTGAATCAAATATTAATATCAATTTTAGTGCTCGCGATGTCCGACATATCGACGTTCAGATTCTCCTTACGAAGGGTCAGGTAGTTCTGCCTTTCCTTATGCGCCACAAACACCAGGATTACAAACAATACGGTCGCTATGAATAGTGACACCAAACACAACACTACGACAGTAGATGTAGATATCTCTTGGGTTTCGGGGTCTATCGATATCGTTAAGACATCCTCAATGGTTTCGTTGGTGTTCTTGAGGTCCTCATACTTTTTACACAATAACTCATTTGAACCCAATATTAACACCAATCCAATGGTCACTATTGTGCAACTCATAGCTAACTTCTCATTGTAATAACTGCCAATTATTGTGACTTTCAAATTAGTGCTACGAAACAATCCGTTATATTATTGAAAACATTAGTTAATTGTCACCAGATTTATATTTAAAACTTTAAATTGAATCACATTTACTGTTGAATAGTACATTCAGACTACATTATGCTTATTCACTGTTATCACAATTTTTTGTTAACTTTTCCAAAACTACTGTAATTGTCAAACAAATAATGAAATATAAATGTGTTGTTATAACTATTGTGTGGTATGTCTTGTATTGCTTACCACACAATTCATATGTGATATCAACTTCAGTAAATGGTAATAATTCTGGATCTGCCACTGAATCAAACATGACATCCGATACGATACCCAACCCCGTGGATCCACGTTCAACCAACTCATCCATACCTATAGCTGATCCGTGCCAGTCATGCGAGACACTGAAATGGATATTCATTGGAGTGAACGGTGTATTACTTGTGATAGCCTTAACATTGATCATAAAATTGGTTGTAATGGTTGTGTCGGTTGACGATCTTCCCATTGAATCGGATAGAGCGGACTCATCCAAAATCACCAAAAACAAGTCAACCACAGACTCCCCGGACTCATCCCAATCTGAAAGACGTAAAGACCCACTCCGGTCAGAGACAACCACTTCATTTAAACCTAGTAAACGGCACCGGAAGGTGATCGTAGGCCATACTGTTACCATTTAATGACTTCAATGCATTTACTGTACATTTCATATAATTATGTCATTACATAACTTGTATCTCTATTCATACAAATTTTTCCTACAATAATTTTATAAATTAATTAATGCTAAGTTTATTATAAAGTTTATAATATTGTATAAATCTATTTTTAAATTCAATACAATTATTACCATTTTTATTCATTTCTTTAATATAATTTAATATACAATATAGTACAGCATGTGATAAATGTATAGCAAAAAATGTTATTTAAAATAAATTATACATACACTTTATCACTAGAATTAATTTGTTTATTAAAAACAAAAATAATATTTATAATAATTCTTGAAATAATACAAAAGGTATATAAAATTGTTAATTT